TTAAATATTAACTTGAATTTAAATTAGATTTTTGGTCAGATTCAAATTAGATTTGAGTTTGAATTAAATTTTTAATTGAATTCAAATTGTAAATTGGATTTTTGATCAAATCTGAGTTTGGTTTAAGCTTAAACTGAATCAGATTCAAATTGAACCAGATTTTTTTTTGGAATTCTAATTAAAATATTATTTATTTAAAATTTAAATATTATTTATAATATAATTATTTAATAAAATACATTGAATATTTATTTGAACTCAAACTAGATATTTGATTAGGTTTGAGTTTGATTTAAAGTTTAAACTGAATTTGAATTAGACTTTTATTAGATTTAAATTTTAGTCAAATTCAAGTTCAGTTTAAATTAGACTTTTTTAGAATTTTACTTGTAGATTATAAATAAAGTTATAAATTAATATAAAATAATAAATATTTTGAATAAATATTCAAAAAGATATATAGATTTAAAAAATATTTTTAATTATTTATAATTTTTTACTTTATTTATATTATAATAAATATTTATTTTTTAATAATAAATATAAATTATAAATATAAATTATAATTTTAAGTAAAGTTATAATCAGAAATATGAACTATAAATTTTTATAAATAATTATTATTAATAATAAATATATAAAATTTATAATAAAATTTAATAATTATAAAAATAAAATTACTTTAGTTATTATTAAATAAACTTTTAATTTTTATTAAATATTATAAATTATATATATAAATAAGATTATAATTTATATTTAGTTTTATAAATTAGTATATAATTTGTTATAAATTATAAAATTTAATATAAGTATAATATATATTTTTATATAAATTAAATTTTAATTTAACAAAAAAAATTAAGTATTTTTAAGTGAAACATAAAAAAAATTTATAAAATAGTTTTTTTATATTTGTAAAAAAGATATAAAAATATATTTTTAAAATTATATTAATATAAAGAAAATATATATTAAATACTAATATTTTAAAAATATAAAATTCTTTTTATATATAATTTTTGTTAACAAAATAAATTTCTAAAATTAATATATAGTAACAATCAGAAATAATATAATAATATTAAAATTTATTAATTAAATATAATAAAATATATATTATTCTTTTATATAAAAGTTTTTAATTTTTATTAATAAATATTTTTATTTTTTATTAAAATAAAGATAATATTATATATTTTAATATATATTTTTTTTATATTTTTAGATATAATTTGATAAATTTGTTTTAATTATATATAAAGTTAATTATTTTTTATATATTTTAATTATAAAAAATAATTAACTTATATATAATTAAAACAGATTTATCAAATTAAATCTAAAAATATAAAAAAATATATATTAAAATATAATATTATTTTTATTTTAATATAAAAATAAAAAATATTTGTTAGTAAAATTGAAAATTTTTATTAGTAAACTTAAAAATTTTATATAAAAAAACATATAATTTACTATATTTAATTAATAAAAATTTTGATATTATTATATTATTTCTGATTATCATTATAAATCAATTAATTTTATTAAATTGTTTTTAATTTATTTTTTCAAAAAATTGTTTGTTATTACTTTTATATATTATATAAAATTAGTTTTTTAATATATATTATATTAAATTATAAACTATATATTAATTAAAAAATATATTTTATTATTATAATAAATATATTTAGTATAAAAATTAATTTTTAATAAGTTTTGTAACAATAATAAATTATTATAAATTTAATAAATATTTTGACTAAAAGTAAATATAAATTTAATTTTTGATTTTTTATTAATTATAATTATTTGTTAAAAATTTATAATTAAGTAATAAAAGAATATTAAGAAAAAATTATAAAATCAATAATATTAACAAAACAAATATAAAAATTTGAAGATTTTAGTATATTTATAATACAAAAATAAGTTAATTCGTTGAATATAAAAGCTAATAGTGAGATGCTTTTATCTAAGTCTTGAAAAGAATAAATATAATGTAATTTTATATAATATGATTATAAAAAGTTTGACTATATTTGAATTTGTTATGGAATTAATAGTTTATATTTTTTGTTTTCATTTGAAAAGTTCAAGTTCATATCTTCATAATTATTTATAAACTATTTCTAGAATTACGAGCATTCTATTGACAAACTCATTAGAAAATCTCAGTACAAGTAATTCTTGTTATAGTAAAGGCATCCAGACTATTAGTAAAAATTTTTCGAAAATTTACTATGAGATTTTACTATAGCGAGAGTGACTTGTATATCGACAGTTTAATAAAAAAAATCAAACCATTTCAAATGGATCCCTTTTGAAAGGTTGTGTGATTATTTATAAATCAACATTATTGGACTAGGGTTGCTTGCTAAATCACATGGCAAAGGTGAACTTTCAGTTTCGAAAGGTTTGCTAATAAAGCTTTGGCACCGAGAGACTACTGATTTTAGCAAGTAATCTTAAATTAGGCGAATTATTGAGTTGGGTCATGAAGAAAATAAATTTATACAGCTCAAGTTGTGTTGATATCATTCAAGGCAAATCAAATTAGAGGATTACACATTCGTTTAAAAGAAAGATAAATTAATTTTGTTGGAGTGCTTTAGAAATTAACATTATACATGTATACATAAATAGTTCAGTGTTCAGCGGTTTGTTTATCGCGAAAGAAAACTCGATTCATACGAATTGAGTTCTTCTATTATTGAGATCTGATCTATTTTTGGTTTTGCTTTACCTTCGTTTTTAATTTATTTCGCGCACATACCAATTTTGACCGATATTATTTGAAACTTGAAACACAAAAATTAATTGATAAGTTCTATAAATAATGATGAGTAATTATTATGAGCCGTCTATACCCTAACCGCGACGCTCGGATGCATAATCGCAATTCCATACTTCTCCAAATATCTGGTGTTCCAATCGTGGTCTTCTTCGTGTATGCACATTCGACACTCGATTCTCAGTCACTAGGTGCCTTGATTGAAGAAACAATTGTCACATTTGGAATTGCATTTTTAGTTCACGCTATTGCATTAGATCCGAATAAAGAAATTTATAGTTAATTCAGTACGTATTTGGTTTGATTGTGTGGTGGTTGGTTGGAAGTTTGAATACTGGATGGCCTGGACATATTTTGTTTTATTATTTAGCACTGATATATTAAATAGTATTCTGGGCTAAGTAGGCACTTCTTCATGGATTTTATTATTGTCAGTAATTAATGTAATAGTAAGTCTAAATACTCCCAACCCAAATTTTTTAAAAAAAACTATATTTCAAATTTTGATTACTGATTTTGCAACCAGCCCATACAAAAAGATTCATAGCAAGTAATCTAGCAATTAATTGTTTTTTATGAGCATAATGCACTACGATTACAAGGTTAAACTGTATGTCTAGGAAAAGGGATGTATATTTACGTAGTATTGTTAGTACACCCATTTGTTTTCCATTTTTTCTTTTTCTTTATTTCTTGCCATTATCCATCATTTGATTTAATTGGCTGTCTGGTTGTTGTCACTGTCCAAAATTCAGGTACAGCATACAAAGCAAATATTTCCGCACCAAAAAAAAAGCTAAAAATACAGCACACCTCTAAAACAGAGAAACAGCAAGGATGAATTAAGGCATGGATTTTTCCACCTGTCACAATTAGTCCAACAATATAAACTATCATGCATCAATAACCATCTCCACAATAGTAAACAAATCACACGACACGCACGTTGCATAAAATTCACCAAACTTTAATTTTCAAATGCCTTGATACCAATAACAGAATCGTAGAAATCGAAAATGGTTGTGAACAAAGGATTCACACTTCGAGAAAAAAGACTTGGATTCTCTCTGAATAGATACTCTGTCCCTATTTTTATCTTCTTTTAGAAGACCATACTAAAAAAAGGTATGGGTTTTTTTGATCGTTATTTCTACGAAAAAAACGTAACGTCGTATTCGTTGTACCAATTAAAGATTAATTGTTGTTATTATTATTATTATATTTTCTCGTTGTGATTTAGAAAAATCCAATGTCAGACATATTATGTATGCACTCTTGCATTTCATATGTTTACATATACATGCTAAATATTTAGCGTTCGGGTCCATTAATAGAATTAATGTTCTTTCAATCATTGGTTTTGATTCTCTCGTACTTCCTCTATCTTTCGCTTGTTAATAATGACCGACTGACACACGGAAAACAAGAATCTATTTTTTTCAGTTATCTACATCTCCACGTTACTTACACAATGTACACACAAAAGAAGCAGCATCGAACTTGGATTGGATCTTCATTAGATTGTGCGAGTATGTATGTTTGTATATTTGCTTGTTGATGTTTGAACGCAAAGGCAAAACACCACTAGATGCGCGCGTGGGGACGACTAAACACCAACAAGATTAAATTTTTTGCATATCTGTGCTATAGATTATATACATATATCGGAAAGATGAAAATCTATGTGCCAAACATAAGGTTCCCAAAATCACGTTTCCTTTCAATCAACGACATATCCAGTAAATGTTTTTTTTATCACCGCTTTATTAGATTTCCTTTCTCTTTCTACAGTAAAAATAAATACCTATATATGGCTAGATCGTGATTTGACGCAAGCAAAGATGATCGTACGACATTTGGCCACGGCTTAATATCAGGAAAAAGGAAATAACAAGTTATCAAAGGAACACAAATCGGAACAAGCGTTCCAAAAAACCGGTAATAGTGCACATTTTAATCGCTTCCCGAAGAAGTGACTAATATTATTTGGTACGTGTACTTCATGCTGTCCGACCTTACCCATCATCGACTTCCTTTTGTACGATGCCTCGTATTCCCATCAAATATAGTATACAACTAAATAGCACTTGCACACAGACAGACAGAGAGATGAAGAACGAATACTTCTTTTCCGAATAAAGTTGCAGCAATAATTTACACCAATTAATAACTACCTATGGACATGATGTCATCCTCAACATCAAATTTCTCCGACCAATCCGTTACCACCAAGGAAAATCTTGAGCTGCAACCAGCATAACGCATGTCTATTTCTATAAACCTCGGTACTTTTTTCAATAACGTGTTCGGTAACTCTGCCACCAAAAGTTTGTCGTCGTTTGTCGTTCCTCTCGCCCATTTCGCACACACTCTTCTTTCGTCCCTCTCTTCTTTCATTCACCGCCTCTTCCATCCTCAATTCTAACAATAGTAGACACCTTCTTTACTGCTACTAACAAACCGAGTAGAAGTCAGCTCTTTCCTTCTTACTTATTTCTTTTTTTTCAAGACATTTCTCGCTCATTTGTTTGCCTTCCTGCCTGTTATAATATCAACAAACCGACTACTCTACAACCAGAAAAATATCTTTTTTCTGTAGTATATTATTATAATTGTTAGTCCTTTTCATGATAACAAATGTCTAGCCTTCTCAATATCCAACAACAATTCTTGAACCAAACTCCTAAAATGGACGCTTCGCTTTCTAATAGCAATAATAATGGTCAACAGCCTCTTATGAAATTGCCGATTCCAAGACTTCCTCAAAATGCAGCTGCCGCGGTTGCCGCCGCTGCTTCGTCATCGGCTCATGTTTCGGGTAATGTTTCGAACAAATCTCACGAGATGTTGATAACTACTTCTTGGCAACCTGCTAACAATAACAACACGACCAACGTTTCAATGGCTAACTCGTTGCCTGTTATTCCTTGCCGTAAGTATTTTGTTTTTTTTTTGTTGATTTTTTTGTTGATTATTTGCAGATGATAATAATAACAATAATAATAATAATAATAATAATATGCATTTATGGGATAAATTAATCGTTAAATATAAAAAAAACTAATCAATGATCAATTAAATCATCAGAAGAGACAATTGGGCAAAATTCCATCGGGAAGCCAGTCCCTAATAAACGTGGTCGTAAACCTCTAACGACTATGCCATCAACGGTAATTATTTTATCTACGATTTCATCTTGGCATCTATTTTGATTAATGATCTTAATCAACTGACAATTAACCTTTAACCGATCAAAAATAAAATAGAAAAAGCACATCCAAAATTTGACCAATCAACGAGCATTTCGTCAACGTCGTGAGAACTACATCCGAACCATAGAATCGAGAGCGTCCACACTGGAGTATCTTTACTCGCAGGCACAGGAAGAGATCAAAAGCTTAAAAGAACAATTAGGGTCAATGCGAAAACAACTATTCGAGGGTGATAGTAGAAATGTTTGCGGTAGTGGTGCACTCTCCAATTCTCCAGGCCTCAACGATCCGTCGTCCATGATGGATCATTCACAACAACATTGCCCACACAACAATCCAACAGACGCTTGCTGTGGCATAGGAGGATTCGGAGGAGGATTGGGAGGAGTTGTTTCCGCATCGTCGTCGTCTTCTTCGTCAAGACAACAACAACCGATGATTTATTCGAGTCAGCAGGTTGTTGTTAGCAATAATAATGGTACTGGTGGTGGTAATGGTAATGGGCGTACTCATATGTTTACAATGGTCTCTTCACGTGAAGGGTCTCCGAAAGATGGTATGAATTGCGATCTATTAATGAGTGATGCTGCTATGAGTCCTATCAGTTCTGATAGTAGCGGTGTTCATAGTCCTCCATTGATACAAAATTCATCAAATAATCAATCACCAAATCATATTTATCAGAACTCAGCAGCCTTTCAGCAGCAATGTTTATCTCCAACATCCCCAACTACCAATAATACCACCAATAGCCCTAATACATACGCCACATTAACGTCCTATCATCATCATCATCCAGCCTTACCTTCATCAACCACCACCTCATCATACTACTCTAATGATCAAGACCAATCCTACCAACAACAACAATCATCATCAACAACTCCTCCTCCACCACATCAACAGCAACGACAACAACAACATAACATGCGAATCCAGCATCCAGATTCAGTACCGCAGTCTCCCTCTCGCCCAACTTCAGTCGATGAACTTCTCGGAAATTCTTTTATTTGCGAGGATAAACATGGGGAGCTTTGTTACTGCGACTCCGACCCTGTATCTGATGCACATCTCGATCTTGAGGACTCTTTCCAATCACAATCATCGATTGGCGGCAGATCAATTATCCATCCAGAGACGGGTAAGACAATGTGGATTCTATCCAACGCACGAGAAAGCGCAATATCAACAAATGATGGAAATTTATGCGATCCAATCACGCCCACCTCGTATTATCATTCAGTTTCTAATGGCTGCTCTCCGTCGTCAAGTTCACCAATTTATAATCATCCGTTGCCATCGCCTGATGAGCCTGAAACGAACTGGCAACTAGAACAACAATACTATACTCAAACAACACAACATCATCATTCTCAACCACATCATTCTCAGCATCATCATCAACAATCAGTAGCCTCACCGATTAATCCAAAATGGATGCAACATCATGACCTACGTAGAGAAGAACAAAGTTGTGGTGGTCGTTAATCGATTGTCATGACTAATGACAATGAAGTATGTGTTAATATAAGGTTTTTAGTATTGTTTTTTTGTACTTATAGACATTTTTTCCCACAAGGAAATACATATATAAAGATATAGACGGCGGATAATTATTTTCCCTTTTTCACCCTTACTTAAATTTAATGATAATGATAATAATAATACGAGCCAATTACATGTTTACAGAACCACACGCAAATTAATCGTATAAATAGACCAAAAAAAACATTTTATAAGTTGGTAGCCTCTTATGCCACACTTGATGATTCTTTTATGTTTTCCTTTTTGATATATACTGCTTTCCCCTCTTCTATAGAATTCCACATTTTGTGCGTGCGTGCTTCCCTAAATCTCCCTTATGTCGTTTTTACTTCTTTCAATCCGAACATTCCTACCTATTCATGATTTCCGATTCTTTTTTCAAGTACACCCCCTCATCACATGTAACATGTTCAAATTGATCACAATTCATATTTTAACATGTTAACATGGGTTGTTACATGACTCGAAGCACGCGTTCACTACGTACTCCTTACCCATCTCCGTAAACTTCAAAAAAAAACCACTCTCTACAACAACAGCACAACACAGCAGTGATCTATTAAAACCACTGCAAAATATTAATTAAACATTCTTTTTTTCAGCCCACACAACCACCAGCCATTGCAACAACAATCTCATATTCGACAACACCAACTTACATATATATAAATGACACTTTATTATATACATACACTTGTGAAAGATTAGATTTCTTTGTCCCTCATTTTTAGATCTACTTCCCCTTCTTTATAAATATTTTTTTTTCATCAACTCCGAATTTATAAATGATATCACAAGCATCCGCCCTTATAAATATATAATACATCCTCACTCTTCACCTGTGTGTATATATTTCCCTTTCTTTCTTTTTTCTATGCACGTTCGTGCACCACCCACACATACACGAACCACATTGTAAATTATTAAGCAAGAACACATATGAACCACTAATGATGATCAAATCATCATCATCATCATCATTATTAATTAACATCAATTATTGATGATGATGGTAATGGTCATGATCAAAGCTGCACAAAACGCTTGTAGCGAGATGAGAGTACACACTCGTGTGCATTTGTCGGTATATGTGGGGGGTGTGTGTTGTGTGTGCGCGAGTGTGCAGCAGTAAAATTCCTCGGCTTGTTCATATATTTTTTTATTTTTATAATTATTATAACATTATATACATATATATTTATTGTTGTTAATTTTGGAAAAATGGGCTTCATTTATTTATTTATTTAAATATGTGTATATTCAACAATCACATATATTTCTTGAACATATTTTGTTTTGTTTCAATTCACTTAACAATAGTGAATGAGCGAAACCACCATCTTATTTAGTTCTTAATACATACCATTCATTTGTATTTGGAATTTGGATCACAAAAATAAAAAAAAAACACAAGACATTTCTTTACTTAACTTCTACTTTGCAAAAGTTATGTGGGTTTTTTGTATGTGGATTTTTGAGCGTGTGGGATGTAGTTGTCAATTGATGTGAATTAATTAGGACGAGACCATATACATGTAAAAAGGCTCCGATTTTGATTAAATGATTCGCCTAACTATATTGGTGAGACAATGGTAACCATTTCGGGAAATTGCGACTGATTTTCGCACTAGACAAAATTCTTACATACATAATTAACATTTGTGACTACGTAATGTTTTTCGTGAGTGAATATTTTTTGGAATTCATAAAATTTTGCATCCTATATTAAATTAAGCGTCATTTTAGTACAACTAATTATTCAGTTTGCATTAATCCAATACCATTTCTTCCTCGGGCACCGGTCCCAAAAACCACGACACTATCAAACAAATAAACAACGCCCCAACACTCGTCCACAAACACGCATACAACCCCACATACTGGTACAACACACCTCCGATAATCAACCCGACTAACCGCCCAAGCGCATTCGCCATATAATAAAACCCGACGTTCATCGCCACTTTGTCACGATGACAATACGCCAGAATCAGGAACGAGTGCACCGACGAATTCACTGCGAATACGAACGCAAATAGAAATAAACCAGAGATTAGTAGTCCGAGAAGTAAGCTAGTTTGTGTGATGATTGTGGTGACGATTGAGATTAGAATTGTGATGATTAGGAGAATGAAGGTCATTGGTACGAGAATTCGGCCGGATGTTATGGGGTAGAGATGGCTTGGTTTTAGGATTTGTGGTGTGCTTGATTGTATGAATCCGTAAAATATAATCCAGCCTGCTAGAAGTCCACCAGTTGCTATATATGACCTAGTTTTTCAATAAACAATATTTTTATTTAACCTTGCAAAGTACTTTTCATATCCGCAGTGAATAAACAAAATACCATCCAATTTCTCCACGTAAAAACACCGGCAATGGAACTTCAAACCACAAATCTCTCGAACCAAATAAAAACATTCTCGCCAACGATAAAATATTAACATCTCTTCCTTTATCAAAAACCTCTTTAAACGATAACGGTTTTCGTCGGTTACTCACAGCCAAAGTACTTTCCAAGTAAAACCACGCAAAAGGAATAACCACCAAATTCATAGCCGCCATAATTATCAACGACACTATGTAGCCGGTAAAAGACAGTAAAAAAGCTCCTAAAAAGAATCCAGCTCCTTTTACTGAATTTTTCGCGCCCGTTAAATAGGCGACAAGTTTGAACAAAGCTGATTGATGTGTTGACGAGTCGTTGTGTTTTACTATTTTCGTGACGGATTTCCCGCCGAGTTTTACCATGTCTTTTGCTACGCCACTGAATCCTTGTGCGATTGTTATATAGACTATTATGACTGTTCTTGTCCAGTCGCGTTGTAGACCACACAGAATTCCTATCCCAATTATTTGGGCAACGAGTCCAGTCAGCAGACAAAAACGAAGTCCAAGTCGAGATCCCAGGATTCCACCCACTAAATTCGTTACTACTCCCAAAAATTCATATAACGTAAACATAAGGGATATTTGAAGTGCCTTGATTTTAATTGTGTAAAATTATGTTTGCAATTTATTTAATTTTATTAGATTTCTTTGCGTGATTCATTCTCATACTCACATTAAAATGTCTTTGATATAACTCCAATAAAACAATCATTCGTAGCCCCGAATCGGTCAAAGTGAATAACAAATATCCACAGGCAATGACATAAAAATTTCTCATTGCTGCGCCTTCTTTTTTCGACTTGTCATTTTTCTCTGTTGTTGCTATTTCTACTTTATTATTGCTATCATTATCATGTTCTACTTTTATTTCCCCGGTTTTTACTATTTCTATGTCATTATTAATCTTAGTTTCATTGTTAGCATTATCATGTTCTACTTCCATTTTTTACTATAGTTTATTTATTAGAGATGAGAGAACTTTATTATAAAGCGAGAATCTACAGTGATCAAAAGTCACCGAACGATTTTTTTTATTCATTTTATAACGATAAAACATTAATTATGTAATATTTATTTGCATCACCCTGGGCTGCAATACATGCTTAATCCGGTTGGACTCTATTCAATCGAAATTTTGCATTTTTAATCATATATACATGTATTTCCTTTGATAAATTTGTACATAACTCCCAATTTGGTAATTTTTGGTTTGTGAGCGGATTTAATTCTTAACTCCAGCCAAAACTTACCAAAATTGGGAGTCAAATCAGCCCATACGTGGCACACCAACCAATCAAATTCAATCGTAAATTACGAATTTATTTATCTTCTGAATTTATTGTACGTTAGAGAATTAAAAATTGTCCAACATATCTGCACGTTGTTTAGGCGCATGTTTTTTCTACAAACAAAAAACAGCTCTCTTTACACCAAGTCTTTATTGAGGCTGGATTATATAATATCAATATCTATTAAAAATTAAACATCACTTTGAAATAAGATCTATCAATTTGTATATAGAATAGCTATTTTATGTATAGTGTTAAGTTGAAAAGCTAAGCATTATTTGGCCTACTATAGCAACCAAAGAGCTCGTTGGTTTAGTTTTATAAATGGATTTTCCAGTAGATTCTGGACAAAATCAGCTTTAATTTCCGTTTTAAGAAAGCTAAGAGCAATAATTGATCAATTGGTTAATTCTCTGGGATATGTCAACATAAACAAGATGTTGTGGTTGAAATATATTCAATATTACATGTGTTTATTTTTAAAATTCTGATTGGAGATTGCATATATGCAACAGCAATATTAAAAATTTCCAGCGCCATTCATTCACCACCACAGTTTCTAAGGTAAATTTATTGATTATCGGTACATACCATTGGAAAGCCAGTATTGGTTTCAATGAGTGTAATTTGCTGCTGTTACAGTTGATGTTGTTGCGACGGAATTATAGCTTGCGTGATTTATGTTTTCAATGTATTCAATGTAATGAATTTTCATCGGAAACGCCGAATGTCGTCTTCCGATTTGATTTTTTGGCGAGCTAATCATAAAAACTTAATTTTGAAGATATAACAACGGATCACTATACGTATTACACCAGCTTATTAATCATACTGATATCATGCACTGTATATCGCTCTAGATGAATTATTAATTTTTACATTGTGATACCGATACACAATAAAAGCGCATATCGATATGATTAAAATACAAAACTTTTTAAGAATTAAAAATTCGTTCATTGTAATGAACTTGCAACTAATTAAATACATGTAACTAGAAGCGAACAGTAAATCTTATGCAGTTGAGCTTTTTGAATTTATCATTTTTTTTTTGTGAATTAATGTTCTATCGTTATGCTTGATTATTAAGCATTTTATAACTTGCTAATTATAATGAAAAAATTCTAGCTACACAAGGTCAGATTATACTACATGTAGATTAAATGCATAAAAACCATTTTTAAGAGATATTACATGTACATGTATTTTGCGGTACCAAAGTCCAACGTACGTACGTAATTGTTTACCTGTATTTTGAAATAGCATTTAAATAGCTTTATTTTAGAATTTTGCCACATTCCTATTTTTTTTTTTTTGAGATCTCAAAATCTTTCTGAATCAGTTGGAAATTTTCTTTTAATTTAGAATCAATATGCAATCCGAAATTCGCTTACCAGACTTAAAAGAAAATTTAACGGATAATCGTTTTTTTATCTCGCTCACAAACTCCTACAATCGAAGAACAAACTAGAATAATAATAGTAATAATGACTATAATTCGAATAACCCATCAAATAATAGCACATTTCCTCTTAATTCTGTCCATGTTCAAATTAAAAATGTAAATTCGATCGATTCTGAATATCACCATTCTGACAGTATTTCTTCATATAAAAATGACGAGAAGCAATTTAAAATCGAAACTAGTAAAAAATCACGCAGTAATAAGTGTGATTTTATTAAATTGAAGCAAATATTTAATTGAAAGAAATTGTCGGCTTAGAAATTTGGCAGGAAGCCATTGCTGAGTTTTTTGGAAGACGATTTTGATATTTTTAATTGGAGCCGCAGTTGTAGCTGTTGCTGATTCAACGTAAGTAGTAATTTAGAGTAAATAAGTATAAATTCTTCGATAGATATGTAATTTTTACAGATTTCCGCTTCCTTCATTACTAATTGGATTCGCACATATTCCAATAATAATGCTGCTAATATTAGCTACAGGGCCAATTTCAGGTACGCGTAGAAAAATAAATCCCCGTGCATTTTATTTATGCTGATTCAACTATTGTCTTGATGCAAGCGCCCATTTAAATCCGCTCATAACTATGACAACAACATTCACACGCTTATTATCTCTCCTCCGCGGTTTGCTTTACATAATTGCCCAACTATCTGGAGGCACAACAGGAGGAATCATGATACGGATTATCACATCAGATGTAAGTATTATTACTCGCACGAAATTAGGATCTTGTTCATTTAATAGCGAAAAGTTTTCACAATTTCAAGCGTTTATCGGCGAAGTAGTATTCTGTTTCAGCGTAGTTATTGTATTGTTTAGAGTTGCTTTGGATCCAATACGTAAAAAAGATTTCGGGTTGACGATGACAGCGTTTTTAGTTTCTGCCACATTTGGGATTTTGTTTGGTTTAGTATTGTTACAATTATTTTCAATAATTCCATAATTAACGAATCTTTTAAAAATAATAGAAAATATGAAAATCTTCAAAAATAG